CCCCCCCCCCCCTCCCCCATTTGTTTCAGCAAACAACAGTCAGAAAGCCTGTCTCTTCACATCATTAGAAAGTGTTAGATGTTTACGACCAGGGCCACAGGAAGTCTGACCAATCTTTGCATGTTTTAAAAAAAAAAGTCACTTCATGTAGATGATCCACCGAGAGGAATGAAAACAACACAAAACATGGGGGCTACTTGGAAAAAAAAAAGATGCTCCACTTGAAAGTGAGGTGGAAAATAGATCTACTTCAAAATTTCTATGAAAACAGCCGTTTAGCAGCTGCTTAAGAAACCATCCGCAGCAACCTGCATCATCACAAGTGTAACCAAAGTTCAACATTCAACAAAAATGGACTTGCCTTTACTGCCTTTTAAGAAAAAAACATGAGAACCATAGTCCTCAACATTACTGAAGCGTGGTTGAAGCGAACTACACAGTTTGTACGCGACATCAGACTGACTGTCTAGCTGCTGTCATCGAGAACGAGGAAGAAGAAGAAAAACTGAAGCGTACCAAACTGAAGATAGCTTCATGGTGCATTCCAAAAAACTCAGCAGCTTAAAAACAAAAGGGAGCAAACTGACAGAAGCAGGAAAGTATCTGAAGCTATCTGAAAATTGTCACCCTTTTTACCCAACAAAGAAACATAATATGAAAGTAAAGCAAAACCAACAAAAGACAATTTTAGCAAATCAAAATTTGCATGATATGATGACAAGACATCATCTTGCTAATTAACCAATGTATTGAAACTTTCTTTCACAGGCTGAAAGGACTCTTGGGAAAGTCACCAAGTCGGCAGAATTTGTTTTAGGAAACCATAACGTTGAAAAGACCTGTATCAGCCACTAAGATAATAAAGAGCAGTGGGGACTCTTGGGCTTCGTAACCCATCTCAGGAAATCCAGGAGCAAGCCATCTCAGCTGAACAATACACTGTGTATGTCTTGACACTGTACTTTTTAGAAGGAAAACAGAAATGACTTCAGCAGTCAGAATACACCGCTATGAAATCTACCATGAAAAACAAAAGAATCTAAAGTAAAAACATGTATTAATGTTGAAAAAAGAAAGTGTTAAAAGACACTCAATGTTAGTACCACACTGAACACATGGGATTAGAGGAACAAAATATAAAAGAACTCATTACAGGATTTGTAATCGCCAATAAAACTATCACAGAATAGTTTTTTTAAAGTACAGAATGAACATTAAAAATCAGCAATCAGGCACTGCAAATTGTCTCAGACAGAAAAAAAAATATTAACAAATGAACAAAATAAAAACATGGTGACACAAGAAAAAAGGCAAAACTGAAGACAAAGCTACAATATAAAAAAAAAGTGCAAGTACTTTCACTACTCTACGTCACTGATAACGTGTCAATCCACACCTTTTGGGCAGAGGCTACACACTGGTGAAAAGGCAGCTAAACTGGCTCTTTGGCCCAAATTCAGTTATCACTGAACAGGTATTTGCAAAAATTGTCCATTGTTAAGACAAAGAGATCATTTTCTTCTTTTTATTGAGGTAAAAGTAGAATGTTGTCATGCAGCACACATATTTAAGAAGGAAATATATCAAAATATAAAAGAACAATAAAAAATAATCAGACGTAAAAAAGGTAAATTAGTCGGTAGAAAAAGAGTCAGCAATGTCATTTCACCACTGTGTGAGTAGCACACTGTGCCAGGGAGAACACCACACTAGAAGAAGGGCACACTCGTTGGCAAAAACGCTGGCACCACACTATTCACAATTGAGAGAAGTTTACGTCAAGAAGACAGAGAAGAGTGATCTCCCACCAAACCATGGTTATGTCACTGCATACACTTATGTGGAACAGCATGCAAGTACTTATTACAAAGACAAAGATTACAAAACAAGATAAAAATAAAAAGTGATGTTACAGGAAAAAAATCATGAAAAAGCTAGATACACCACACACAAAGACAGACACACTTGGCTACACACTCAGAAGCAAGCAGAAAGAATCTCCTTTCTCACCTCATCCTCCCCCGGTTCTTCCTCCCCATCATAGTCGGAGCCGGAAAAGACCATACTTCCTGTCTGAAGAGGCAAACAAAGACAGTCACTACCACAGGTTGGAGACAAGGTCTGACACCCAAGGCAAAGATGCCGAAATAAAGTGTTGTTATTTCCAAAACTTCCTTGATGAACTCATAGTAGTCTTGAGTTTGAGCTTGTGAATAAAGAAGCTTGAAAAGAAGTACGACCAACCAGTGATGCCCCCCAACTCCAACCACCTGCAAACCCACAGTAATATCTTAAAATCTAAAGCCATCATCTGCAACAACTCATCCAGGTGAAAACGTTTTCAAAATTGGATTTTTCATATATACAAAAAAAAAGTAGTTTGGTCATATCTGAAACTGTCATATTTTTCAGAGAACCATTGGCCAGCTTATTGTATACAATAAAACGGAAGTGTGCCTATACACAGTCGAAAAAGTGTGGTAAATTTCATGTTCAAATCTGCCTACCACTTTGCTCCAATACAAACAAATTCAATTGGAACTAGAACATCAAAGAAAATAGGCGACTCATACCAAAGCAAGGGAAAAAAAGAAAGAGACCCTTTGTCCGCAGGCACTCTTATGCGTCAGAAATCGAAACAGCACCAGAAATGACGAGCTTAGGTCCCAAACAGTAACAATCTTAAGCTTAAGCAAAACGATCCATACACCCACATCTATCAGTAGTTATTACAGAATTTTCCACTTTCACAGAGCTGTGAGTAAAAAAAGCATCATACTAAATCAGCTTAAGATTGGGATTTTTACAGCAAGAAACAACCATAGAGGAGTCTGGACAAAGATTAGTACAATCCTGGGAATGAAAATAACTACACTACAGCCTATAAAAGATTCAAGGAATATACAGTTTCAACAGAGCAGTATTCAAGGGCATGGATCCCACATAGCGCTTGATTTAGTGATTCCACTAACACCATTACCAGTGACAGGAGTGGCAGATCTTTATCTTTTATCAACTTCCACAGATTCATTTTACCCTAAGTGGTAATCTCCAAACCACTCTGATCTGCCTTCTTAGTGGTTTAATTTTTTTTCATAATTACCCCCCCCCCCACACACACACACACACACACACTTCACAAGCTGTTACGTATTGGGTCAATTGTTCAGAATAACTTTTAGTTTTAATTTTAAAAAGAGTTTTATGGCACTTGCATCACAAATGCCGAAGATGAGAGATGTTACTAAAGAGTAACATATACAAAGAAAAGGAGAGGGAGAGATCAGGACAATAGAAGTTTGATAGGAACGAAGGAACAAACCCAAACCACACCAGAACATCCGTCAACCATCCACATTTGTTCAGAATAAGCACTCTAAAGGACAACACAGCCTTTTCATATTAGTACCTACTGTAATGCCATATTTTTCATGAATTTATGAATTTCAATATTGATAACTAAGAAAGTAGACATGTATGTATGTCTTTGGGATATAAAACGGGCTCCTTACTCACTTCATAACAACTACTGTTATCATAAGATAGAAAAAATAATTTTACAGCTGAATACATCCTCAACATTATTTTTGTTTTAAACTACAAACTACAACTTTTTCTAATCTCTGAGGTAAATGAACTGCATGCATCAAAAAGCCATCATATGAATAATATCTAGTAAATTATCAATAAGAACTGAAAATAAAATATCCTTTCATGCCCATCAATTTCCACATTAAAATGTCTTCTAACTTTCGTAAATACACTAGATGTCATCTTAAACTGCACGGGCAATATACCTAATTTCATTCCAGTCAAAAACTTTGAGGCTGATCCATTTGTTTTTGTAACCGCAAAAGCTCTACTAGAATGACTCCTACATTAGTCTGCTTTTTAAAGTAATTGTATGGGCAAGTTGTCACACACTTTTATTAGTACAAACTCTACAGCCAAGACTCATGCAAAAAATACACTTGCAAAACTTCCATTTTTTACCCCACCTGCCAGCGAAGATCCAAAACTAATTATTTGTCACAAAACCCAAATGCATCATCAAACGCGTCAACTATAAATCAAGAAACTAACAAACCCCAAGGCACTATGAGTACAAATGCACAACTTGACTGTGTCTTATATCAACATTCACACAACAGCTGTCAGTTTCCATGACAATGTGGATGCAAACTTTTATGCGTCAATCATACACATGTGACTGTATGGATAAAGCGCATTCTATAAAGTCAAGAGAATATTTCAAAGGTATAGAATATATTGTAAAGGATATTGTAGAAAACGTGAAGCGATCTCAGAAGGAAATGTTCATTGTATAGATTTAATGCTCCTCTCAATATTGTACGTATTTTAAAGAAGTATGACCTCTGAATTTAATGTCCATCTCCAATAGGACCAAGCCAAAAGGGTGGAGAGACTGAAAACTCCCCAACAGAGCCCAAGGTCAGGGCATTCCAGTGGGAACTTGTACCAGGGCAATCAGCTCTAAAGTCCAGCAAGATATCAACTGAACCCTCAAAGAAAGTTAAAGTATCATCATCATTGTATAGGTTTGACGCACTTTTCAACACTGAGGTTTTTAAGGAGTCACCTCCAAATTTAATGTCCATCTCCAATAGGACTGAGCCACATGGGTGGAGAACCTTATCATAGACTACCCAAAAGAATCAAAGTTCATAACACCCTGTTTGAACTAAGGCCATCCGCTCCATAGTTCAGCATAATGTCAACTGCATGAACTAACGGTTGACCTTCACAGGAGGTTTAAGTACGTAAGGAAGAAAATTTGCATTGTGCAAAAAGATACAAGCATGTTTAAAAAGCTGTGCACGATTGTTTGTGTGTCCAGATGAGACTGAAGAGTCTGCTAGTTGTGGACTTTCTTTTGATACATTTAAAAAAGCAAACAATAAGACAAAATATGTTATAAACTTTCAGAGAGGAGAAGAAAACGTTTGATTTACGCAGCGAAAGAATCTTATTACACAACAAAATGAGTGTTACAGTTTTCATGCGGTGACATCTTCCACTTCAGTGGCACAAAATGCACAAAATTAGAGATGAACTTCGAGCTACTTTAAGGCACGCGTTTCTCAGCTCTCTGCCATACACAGCTCAGGTCACGCAGTGTGGCCAGCCATTGTCACAAGCCTGAAAAGGCTACTCTTCTGTCAAATCCATAGATTTGTACTATCAATACCAACATATTAATAGTATAGGTCTACGGCATAAGACTCAGTGTGTTAGTCAACGACATACAGGCCAGGCTCTACAAATTATTTTTTGAAAAAGGGGAAGGGGAAGGGGCAGGGCTACCACAGCCATGAGGGCTGTCCTTGTCCTACCTCGCTGTCGATGCAGCGCTTTGGCTCCTCCCACTGCGGAAGGTCATACAGACAGTGAAAGATTACTGATATATTTATGACTACATTACCCCACTGGCTGTATTCTCAAAAGGCATAAAAACTACTCTCAGTAGAAAAAGCGGAAAAGAAAGAAGTGGGTACGTGTACAAGGAGAGACAAAGAGAGAGAGAGAGAGAGAGAGAGAGAGAGAAAGAGAGAGAGAGAGAGAGACAGTGTGTGTGTATGTACGTGTGTGAGTGTATGTGTGCATGTGTGAGTGTATGTCTGCATGTGTGTGTGTATGTGTGTCATGCGTAAGCGCTTGCACGTGTTCGTGCGTGTTGTTGCATACACTACTGAGTTTAAGGGCATATTATGTGTACGGATGTGTGCGTGCCATAATTCAAAACTTGAAACTGTTCCTTTAATAGGAATATAGGAATAGAGGAAAATAAAAGGAAAAACAAAACAAAAAAAACCCATCCCAACAAAAAATCATGTAGCAACCGAGATCAACTAAAATCACATCTAACTCATTATTTACATTTCCACGCCACTAGAAAATTCATTGTGCGAAACAGAAGAGTGATTTTCATACTTTCCCTCAAAGTCCCTCTGATCACCATGCACTCAGAAAATCGCTACAACACATTTAGAAGTTCATGTGCAGAGACCAAACGGGACAAAAATCGTCAGCTCAACTCCGGCACAAACTTGGTGCTTTCCACTATTCTCATTACAAAATATCTACAGCAGCACACCCAGCATGGCCCACATTAAGTCAAATACAGATAGAGACACATCATACGGGCAAGCAAAAGCATGCCTTTTTCAGACAGACAGACAGACACACATACATACAGTCTCTCTCTCACTAACGCACACAGGCTAACATATTCACAAACACACACACACACTCTCTCTCTCTCTCTTTCATGTGAGAATGCTATTGCAGAATTTGCACGGACAGAAAGAGTTGACTATTCAGTATAAACAAATCTTGACAAATATAAGAGTACTCTTATTATTCACAACATCCCAAGTAACCTTAGATCAAATACACAGCAATACCACCACTCTTTGCAGTTGCTTGTGTAATTTGTAGTGATATATATTGAAATCGAAAAACTCCTGATGATGCAATTAGAACATTTACGGAGTAGCCCGCTGTGACCTTACCAGATTGTGTGGGATACAACAACAGTTAAAGACAGCGATGTTCAATAAAAAAATATTTTCCCCGTGAATGAAAACAAAAAATTCTTCATAGAAAAGTGTCCGATTACGCTCAGCCTAAAAGCGGATGCCCATTGGTCAAATGTACCTGATCTGCATGATCAAATCCGATTGGGTCGGGTTGATTAATGATCGCTCCAGCGAACACTACATCAAACTGGCCTGTGCTTAGCCTCTTCAAATTTGGTCCGACAAGTCGACCAGGGCCTATCGCATTCCACAAGTAAACAAAAGATCTAACCCCCTATGCGTTCTATGCGAAAAGCCTTCTCGCAAAAGCCTTCTGACTGGTTGTTTACATTTAAAGCATCAATTTATAATTTGATTTTGGATGATTTGATTAATATATTCCAACTGGGGAGCTTTTGCAAATGTATAAAATGGAGATTTGACTGAACTTGTCGGAAATATGAAGTGGGTATTATACTATCAATGCATATGTTCACTTCCTATCACTTTAAGCTAAAAACAAGAGTACTTGAATTTCCCTTTCTCTCCTTTCATTTAATTTCAACCCATCATTCCTCCACCACCCAATCCACCCTTTTCCTTTTCTGCATCCGACAAGCACAAACAAGTTAAGATTAAAAGTGCGTGTGAATTCAGAAATTAATTCTAGATCTAGTTTAGAAAAAAAAAAATCAAACCAAACCCAAATAAACAAAATTACCAAAAATAGTCACAAACATAGCTAAAGCGCCTCTATAATCTAATGTTGAGATTAATATGTTAAACACTAAGAAGAGAAATAAAAATGTGTGGTAATTTCACACAGAGTGATAACAAATGCGTTCAGTAACTAATTAATGGTTATCATAGACAGAAATGGGCTCAGATTCCTTTAATTTCTTAAGAATGGCAGCAAATATTAAGCTTTCTCCAACCAAATAGCCAATTTTTTAAATCCACTGAGTTGTGTATGAATCATACTCCTTTTCATACATGTATACATATATATTTTTCTGTCTTCTAAATACGATCTTGTACACCTGACTTCAAAGAAATGGCACTCTTTGATAATTATTCAAAATTGGTAATCTCATATTCAGAACTGAACATCCCAATAAATCACCAGGTCAATGACCCCCCGTTGCTGTCTGGTTTCTTTCTCTCTCTTTCTTTCACACACACACACACACACAAACATGGACACACAAACACGCCTGCACACAGAGGCAGAGATCCTGTAGATAACAGGTCTAGCTTGCTAAACCGCTGACAATAGCTATCTAAACCGTTCCCTTTCTTTTCTCCATTTCCCATAACTATCTTTGGCTTCTAAAAAGTTTTTAAAATCCAATAGCAACAGATCTGTTAAATTGAAAAGCCCCCCCCCACCTATTTGGGAAACTCTTGCGTCAATTATTCTCAGTGAGGGCATAGCCATTACAATTTTTGAAAAAATCTCCATCCCACGAAAAACTGTTTGATCATCTTCCGTGCTTCCAAACACATAGATCTACGTGACTTTTCAGCAGACCCGTTCATGAGCATGACAAAAGTAAAAAACTTCCAACTGATCAAAAACTGTAGTCATTGTACTTTGTGTTTTCACATATTAACGTAGTTTGGATCACTTTTTCTACACATCTGCCTACTTCTCTCAGTGAATGGCAAATTGTTTTTAGGACAGCAGACTTCAAGTTAGTGGAATGGGGGGGTGGACAAAGTCACACCATGCAGGCATGCCCCTACCTCCATGTCAAAATGATGGTTCTCTTGCACCCACTGAAAGTGACCAGCAGGAAAAAAATTAACACCTGGACAAGTCACTTCATGCCTTGCACACATTTAAGACAACCTTCACCAACCCATTCGAGTTGTTGATCACAGATCATACCAATGGGAACTCTGAATTTTCAGACAATTTTTCAGCTTCCACAAAGCTCAGATTCCAACCAAACTACAGGATTTTAAAAAAGCCTAATAACTTATACACATCGGTCTCTTTGACTTTGAAAGGAACACATGAATGCCAAAGCAACTTTAAAAGTCTTAAGAGAATGCTGCTTTCATTCAACACTTGAAGGCATGCCATATTTTCCACCACACAATTACACAGCCAGACTGACAGAATCAATCAAAGAGGAATTTACCACGACCAAGTAGACTCGACATTTATTATGGTTATCCCAGCAAACAGTCAAACAACACATCTTCTGAAAGCCTGAAGATCTTACAGTTCTCTAACTCGAAGTGAAGCGCTTTGAAACAAATATTACACTTATAATAAAAAGAAACTGACCCAGAACTGAAGAATATTTCTTTTACTTATTAACTGAGAAAACAAAAGTCTTTGCAAACAGGGCGGAAAAAAATACTCATATCTGATACGCCGAAAGATCTTTTTTAGCCATTATTTTTCAAGTGATTAAATGTCAAATCATTGTGATACACGATAGTCAATTCTTTGATCACATTCCGCTGTCATGACCTACTCCATAAGAAAAAAGTTTTCAAATTTAAAAAAAGTGTAACACAAAAAGCGGAAAAGGAAAAGAAAACAACTACACTTTTCAGTCAAAATAAGAAACTATTTCGCATGAAAGCAAAAATGATGATATCAAATATCCACTGTGGCAAACTGAAGTGCAAAACGTTTTGAAAAAACAAAAACAAAAATAATAAAAAGGCAATTGATGGGAAAAAGTAACGGGCCAACCTCGTTCTGACTGCTCCCAAGGGGTACCTGTCGCTCGTTGGGGCTACGCTTCTGCTTGCCTTCGGAGGAGCTGAGGCTTCGATGATCACCAGTCTGTACAGGATGAGACATCAGACATACACCTCAGTAGGGTATACAATTTTTCTGACAACAATATCTTTCTCAGTACTATAAAGTGCAGCAGCCCTTTCATCACTAGCCTCTTATATTATCACAATTGTGTTGCTGAGGGCGTAAGTTAGTTTTAGAAATTTTTTTTATGACACTTGCAACAAAAATGGGCCATATCAGTTGTTTACAGTAAGACTTCGCCATATGCCATTTTGAAAAGTGACTTATGACAGTCTTACACAGAGCAGAGTCGATATAAGTGTCAAACATTAGAGATGTTACCAGAGAGTAATGTGCCAAGAAGAGATAAGGACAATAGATGGATGATAGGAAAGAAGGAGCAAACCCCATCAAAGCACCTGCCAACCACCCATGTGGTGAGTGGTTAGTGAGCTGAGGGCATAAAAAACATTTACAGTCAATACTATCACCACATCATAACAAATATCAGGACATTTTAATAACACAAGCGAAGAAAGAAGAGAACAGTTTGGATACAAATTTCGCATTATGTCTCTATTCATAATTGTACAGCAGCTGATACTGAAAGAGTAAAACTAAAAAAAATTTTTTAAGTATGGGAAAAGCTCCAAACTTTCAAAAAGTCAAGCCAATTACCTCTCAAAACTTAACAGCCAGTTCACATAATTGTACCCCTGCTTTCTGAATATATTCACCCAAAATTCAATCTTTAAAAAACCCATCAACAACCCCCCCTCCCCAACATAAACTAAGCTAGCGGTGAACATCAAAGCTCAATTATCTTAGATTGTTCAAAATGTTTTTGGACCCTTGACAAAATTATTTCTTAAAGTTCAAAGATAAAGTACCAATACTTTTCTTCTGAGCAAAGAATCTCAAAAGTGAAAATGACATAGAGGCATGAAATAAAGAGGTCCTGTCAGCAACAGCAAGCGAACAAAATGAACCATAACAGCCATATACTCTCAAACGTTTGCTCATTAACAATAAAAAAAAAAAAAGAAACCCAAATGTTAGATTAAAACAAATCTGTGAGAGCCCTATAAATAATATTTCATAAACTCTCACTAACAACACCAACAAAAACTAGTCTTTATTAAAAAAACCAGAAGTTCTGAATTGAAGAAAGTCAAAAAGGAAACTGATCTAAAGTGCAATGGATATAAAGAATAATGAGCTTTTATTCAAATAAACAAAAAGCATCAACAACAGAAAAAATGCATTTCTGTTCATACTTTTCAACAAAAATGCTTCAGCAAGACTGGAAATGGCGCGAAAATGGGCAATTTTAGTGATTGAAGATAATTCATAGAGCACAACTGTGATGCAAAAAAACAGTACCAATTTGTCTGGTGCAGGGCCCTTGAATGTGTAAGAACCCCCCCCCCCCCCCCCAAACATGCAATTCTATCTCAATGGGGCGAAAATGGGAAATTTTAGTGGGTGAAGATAATTCATAGAGCACTACTGTTGTGCAAAAAAAGAAATGTTTAAATTTGGATGATGATGGAGACTGAATAAGAGAAGAGGAAACAATCTCACAGCTGACACGAAACTATTTTCAGTAATATCTCATCAAATGTAAATGACCGAAAGGCAACAAACTCAGAAATCCGAACAATGAACAGGAGATTACCTTTTTCTTTCTTCTTTTACAACAGCGCTGAAATATTTTTTAAAACAAAAACCTCACTGCCTTGCTCAAAACCCACAGCTGGCATTTACTCAGCATTTATTTGTCATTGACTTCATTCTCTAAAGACAACAGTCATAGAAATGTATTCAAAATGTCTCTACATAGACAGAAGCTTCCTTGAAATGAAATCAGTGCCATGTAAAAATAAAAATTAAATTTTCATTAAAAGAGTGACAAGAAAGAAAGACAGCACAGAAAATCCCCTTGGAAAATACTTTATTTGCAAATATTATTTTGTGCTGCCCATGGAAATTCCAAATTGACAAACACAAAATTTGTGTTTCTCAATAAATAGTATATGTACTATCAAAACACAAAATGAGAGCTTAACAAGATTCATTCCAAAGCAACGCACCCAAGGGTATAAAAAGGGATACAAAGACCTTTTAAAAAACACATAAAGCTATGAAAAAAAAAGCTTTCACACATAAAGAGTAAGAGGTAAGCCTTCTCCAATCCCAATGCCCTTGGATTTACAACTTTCCATGATCTACCTTGTTGATGAAAGCATCTAGTCCAGCGATAATCTACATGAGGAGACAAAGGCCAAGTGGGCATGAACCATGTGTCTAAAACATTCACAATGAACAGGGTAAAAAAGAGAAAAACAAATATAGAGTCAGTAATATACAATTGTAACCAATGCAATAAAAGGAAATCACAATAATCCATTTATTTTGAACAATGGTATTTTGGAATCATACCAAAGGGGACTTTGCTGAAATTGCCAGCCCCTCATCCAACAGTGCCTTACACAAATTAACTAGATTCTGTTCATAGCTGCATAACATAGCTTCATCTTTTTAGAATAGCTGTCAAAATGGCATTATTTATTTCACAGATGTGTGAACAGAATTTGTTTTCCCTGATGGACAAAGTTTCAACTTCTGCTTTACTTAGAGTTGCCTTGTGTATACATGACATCTTCTGTCTAAAACAGATGGGATGCCTTTTCATTATAAAATGTAAGGTCTTCGGAAGCTTAGCACTAAATGGCCCTGGTTTATCCCTTTTGGAACATGGCTTGGTTACCTAAAGAAGACAAAGTAAACAACCCTGATTAGTAATCAGATTTACAGGGTTCCTCTCATAATCCACATCAATGTACAGGTACTTTGAACTCCATATGCTGCAGAGTGAATTTTGATTTGCCAGTATTGCCCTTTCATTTCACTACATTTCATCACGAGGTGAGTTTTCTCATTTCTTTCAATAAACATTGGGTCGGGCGGTTACAGCAGAGTTACAAAACTGTCAAAATGTGAAACAAAACACCTTTTTCCTCTTTCGATTGTACATAACATAGTATCTATTGCATGCTCACTACTATTCACAGATATATAAATTTTCTTTATATCTTGAACTCTTAAAATACTTTGTATTAGCAACAACTGTTCTGTACAATTAGCCCTTAGGATGCAAGTTAACTCATTTGCTACGCCGAGCCCTGAGGGGCGCGCGGCTAAAGGGCCGTCAGTATGCTAAGCCGCCCCCAGCGGCTCGAGAACCGACGTTCAATTTTAGCTTAGATTCTATTCCAATCCACATATCCATGTTAAAATATAGGTCATAATATAATGTTGACTTCCGGGTCAAGCTATTCCACCGAAAATCGGAAGTTTAGATTCAGTTTTGAAACACGATTTCGAAGTTTATGCGACTTTGTTTTATCGCGAAGCTCAAATTATAGCCCAGATACCAGTCTTACTACTTCTACACAACAAAATATATAATTATTTTGCACACTAAAGAAATGTAGGACTCTTCTTTAGAATATTGATACGATTGGGCTCAAATTGACATTGCTCTGTTATTGAGAAATCAATATTTTTCAGTGCTTCTAGATCTAAATTGTCAAATTATTTTTTCTCTCCCAAAAATCACAATTTTTTGTGAAATTGCACAAAAAGTACCACTCAAGACATGTGTAGGTTTATTCCGAATGCAATTCTAAATAATTCCATATACGATACGAGTGTTTTTTTCTGTTTGTGAATGCATCTTGTCAATTTTTCAAGATTATAAATTTTTTTTTTTCAAAGTCGGATGTCATGATACAAATGTGCAAATTTTATGGAATGTATATATAAATAACTACAAATTTTTCCATATTTTCCAGTTCTATATCCATTTATGGTTATTTTGATGTATCATTTGACTCGATGCAAACATATTTTTTTAGTTTCACCGAAGATGGTAAATTTTTTATTTTCAAATTTTATCCGAATCCAAGTAAAATTGTGTTGCATAATCGCCTCTTAGAGGAACCAAAGTTGAAAAGTACACAAATAAACCTTACAGATGTGTTCTACATATCATACTGAAAATTTCGGTGTATAATATGTTAATATTTTTTTGAATTTGTGGCCCCAAATACCTTTGAACTGCGCATTAGTCATCATCTCATTTCGCCTACCCGAAAAAAAATTCGTCCACAAGCCGAAAATAATATGTAGCGAATGAGTTAATTGGTTTTAAGCAGAATTTTTTTCTCCCCTGAAATCTTCTGAAATGCAGGCATTACATGGGTATGTGACTATAGAGCCAAATGGTGTTCTGTTTGAGTACATTCTTTTGCATTCCTTGCCCTGTTCCGAATGCTTCCTGTCCTCAGATACTCAAACAGACATTCGGTCTTCTGAGACAAAGATCTATTTAAAGTTTTAAAGTTTGCTTAACAGAGGGACAACAACTCCCCCCCTCCCCCCACAAAATATTTGAAGCACTACAGCTGGCTGTTGAAAATATGGAACACATGTTTAAAAAAACAACAACTAACAAACCTTTTTGTATCTGCACCAGAGGGAAGTGTTGAAGGCCAGCACCCAATAGAGCAGAAGCAGCAATCCTGGGTTCAGGAACACTGACCAACGCACACCGGGGTGGATGTAAATAGAGTCCACAGAATCGCAGTCTGTGTACACAACGCCTGTCAATCCAAGGATCCTAATGACAAATACATTAGGTAATACATTAGCACAATGATTTTTGCGAAGTGTTTTAGATTTGCTTTAATTAACTAGAACAAAAGGCGCTGTAACCATGAATGGCTCTAAAACTGATATTGTTCAGTTTTCCGTTAACGGCATACTGTAGATCGTAAATCAGACAATCAGCTTTTTCTCAGTTTTTCTCTTTTAGGACAAACTGTATTTTGTCACAGATCCCTCCAAAACTTCTTGAGACTAATATTGACCCAGAAGCCGAGACGTCAACTTTCAGCTAAATACTAGATACTGTGTTCGGAAATGTGTGTATCGTTCAGTTGGTTTGTTGTTCTAGTCAGAGAGATAAAAGGGTCAATGGAGATAAATGAAAGATTTCTCAGGTCTTTCGGCTCTTTGCAGGTGAGAAGGAGAAGGTAAGTAAATGTTTCAGGCTGGAATTCTCACAAGGACAGAAAAAAAGGTTTTCATTTTTTTAGATTCAAAGAAAGCAATGACTTGTAAACATTACTAAAAGAAGAAAAATATTTGATTATACACATATTCCATAGCAAAATTGAATCATTACTTCATCACAAGACTGCAAAACTGAGCAAAAATATCACTCTAACTTGAACTTTATCCGGATAACCATGAAACAGTCAGCATAGAATTTTTTTATTTTTCTGTTGTTTAGTTTTAGAAGCTTTTACAGCACATACAAACAAGTCATACAAGTGCCAAAGATTAGAGGCATTACTAGAGAGTAACATACAAATTAAGGAAGGAGGAGAGATAATGATGACATATGTTTGATAAAAAAGAAGGAGCAAACCACGCCAGAACACTCGCCAACCACCCACATATGTATTTTTATGTATATAGAGTCCCACCTAGAGATGAGGTACGAGGGAGGCACTGCGTCCTGGAAAAACTGGAACTGGTACAAGTGCAGGAGCAGGATGTGCAGGCCGGTGTAGAGGAGCAGCATGAGCCGCACGTAGCCGAAGCGCCGGCCCATGGAGCGGTAGCAGCCCCACAGCGTCAGCACCACCAGGAAAACCACGAAATACACCTGGAGCAACAAAAGACAATGAATTTCTCAGGTTAGCAAGTTCTAGTTTTTAGTTTTAGTAATATTTTAATTCCACCTGCAACACAGAAAGATAATATAAGTGATAAAGATTAGGGGTGTTACTAAAGAGTGAAATACAAAGAAAAGAAAAAGGAGATAACGTTGATTGATATTTGATATTTTAAAAAAAGGAGAAAACCGCACTAGAGCACCAATAACCACCCACCACGTGAACAAAAAACATTTTGGCTATTTTGTCTTTTGCAAATCAGGTCAGCATGTTGATAGCCACATTGTGCAAGTGTTTTTTTGTGCTATCTTGAGGGTAGAGTACTCAGCCCTTGCCAGGAAACTGGGTTAAGAGATGAATAATATTTGAGTAAATAGAAACACATCAGCACGATAAACATTCATTTAGAGCAGGGAAAAGCAAGATAAACAAACACAACAGAAGGGTAGTGAGGAAGCTAGGACCAGCCACCTCCGAGTTATGAAAACTAACCCCCCCCCCCAACATTCACGCACAAGCCCTCGGAAGAATGAAAAGAAATCTTTTAAATATAATTAGTCCAAAAATTTGAAAAAAATGAAATAAAATAACAACAAAAAACCCTCACAAACACGAGACACATACCACAGTCACTAAGACACATACCACAGGCAGCAAGACACTTACCCCAGAGAAGACAGAGGGCACGATAACACCAGCCGCAGCAAGAGCAAAGTTCTGCACAAAATCCAGGAGAACGTGCAGTAGGGCGTCATTGCTCCGCTGTTTCTGCCGACCCAGCAAGGGGGTTTCCGAGCGCAGACTGTCCGAGAGCTCCGGTCCTTTGTTGACTGCTCGACAAATTGCTAGGACGACCACTGATGTGATGAACACAATGGCGTCTGGCAGTGTCAGGCGGATGATGTCAGCAGGACTTGCATTGTCAAGACTGAAGGTTGGGAAAGAAGGTGCGGTCAAATTCCACCATTGGAAGCAAGCCCATGAGACGACAGAATGCCCTCATTTTTTTTCATTTTAAACGTAAAAACTTATAACAATTATCATTAAGTCATTATGTGCACAACTGAATGATTCACGTTCTATAAGAGCTTGTTCAGAATGTGGTGCTGGATTTTTTGGCTAAATTTTGTTCTAAAAGCTATAAGTAATAACTTCCAATGAGGACAAAAGCTGACCTCTACCAATTACAATTCTTCAGCATGAATTTTCAAGGATTGGACTATTCCTTCACAAACGATGTCCACTTTTCATTTATTGTCAGTATATTGTCACCTGGAATTTACAACAAAAATAAAACAGCATTCTGGGCTGAGTAAACAAGAACCATTGAAACAAAACAATGACAATGATTTTCTACAGAATTGTTTTGAAGTTAAAAAAAAAAGTCTTGTTCACAGAATTATGGTTGGTTAACAATGACAGACACACCCGTAACTTATGGTAACAACTTGTTGACACTTTTATGAAACTATGTATCTATAATTTGGGGCCGTGTTCGGAAACAAATAATAACATGGGGAAAAACGAAGATCGAAAAAATAAATAAATCCCTAAACCAAAACAAAATGGCACTTAGCACTGACACAAGGAGAAAACAAACAACATAGTTTTCATTAAAGATAAGCACATTAGCATTACAACTTTCATTAAGTTCTGGGAAAGAGCAAAAACAGACAGACGTACCCAACACAGGGACAATAAAAAAGTAGAACCTACCACCCACACAAACTACAGGTGAAAAAAAAATTACAAAAATAAAAATCAATACTAAAAGACAATGATACATACCGCTGGTACCCAATCTGTCGCACTAGTCTTTCCTTGCTGGAACCTGAAAATTACAGTGAAGGAAAAAAAATAAGAAAGGGTCATCAATATAAAGAAGAAGAGATAAAAGCAAATGACAAGTTAAAGAAAACACATGCATTGCCAAGGAGAAAGCAAACCAATAGAATAGTAAATTCACCCTGGAAAGTAAGAACGTATCCTTTTACATCAATGGGCAAAGAGAAGATGGCTTTCTTTTCTTCCGCTCCCCCTCTCTTCTTTTTTTCTTTTTCTTAGTGGAAAGTGAAGGAAGAGAAACAGTGTTGAACCTCATAATGCAAAAATGTTTATAAGGGCATGGACTGTTGTCAAGGACATAATTACAATGAACATAATACTGCAAATATCTTTTTTTTTTGTAAAGTGTTTTATGGCGCTCGCAACTGCATAGGTCATATGAGCGCGCGGGACACACCTAATATTTTCAGTTGGTAGGAAATTTTGAATTTTGCCCGGGTGACGGCCGAAGCCTACTCTTATCGAT